CTCGTTTACAGTCGAGCTCAATAACCCTGACAATCGGAACAAGCTGCTGATCAGACTGCTGAAGGCGCTGATCTGATCGATCGACTCCCGCGGTCTGGCTGGACTTCTCTAACCCTGCACCCCACTGTCGACCCCAGTTTCTGCCAGTCTTTGGGCCGTTTTGTCCCCCAGTCCCTCCGCAGCCCTGTCTCTGATGGGAGCAACGACTCCTCTCCAGATGACAGTTCGACTTCAGAAAACATGTGCTCTGAGGCAGAGGCCAGGCTCCCCTGAGCAGCCGGGGGCTCCCCTCTCGGCCCCCCACAGCTCCTGTGCCTGCAGCCTAGTCGTCCGTCAGACACCAAGGAGCCTGCACCTGGTGCCGAGAGCGAACGGTATCCAGCTACCGACTGGAGCGTAGGCTGCGGGTGCGTAGGCTGCGGGTGCGTACTCTGCTGCGTATGCGCACGTATCTGAGGGAGGTAAGGCCGGGCCGGGCAGCCAGCCTCAGGCAGCTGCTGCAGGAGCCGAGGGAAGCCGCCACAAACAGGGAGCTGGGGCACATCTGGTCCCTGGGGACTGCCCCCCCAGGCGGCAGCTCAGAGATGTCCCTGAGCAAGGCAGTGACATTAACTGGAGCCTGAGAGACTAGGTGGCCCCTAAGGATAGGGACAGGTGCTGCCGGGGCACACTGTGGTTAGTCTTGTCCCACTGAGTAAGGTCTTCCGCACCAGGAGACAGCTTAGAGACGGACTCCCAGGGCCAGCAGGTGGCATGGTGGTTAAGGTGCTGGAATTCCCACATGGCCGGCCATGGTTCGAGTCCCAGACCTGGCGGCTTGCTTTCTCACTCTCCCTCCCTCCCTGTCTTTCTCTGGCAAAACTTGTGAAAAATAATATTAACAACAACAATAATAAATCTTTTTTTTTTCCTGGCCACCTCTGACACCTGGGAGTCTGGGCCGCTGTCCTCCTGGGTTTCCTGTGGCCTCAGCACAGCTGCCAGTCGCCTGCAGCCTTCTGCGCTGTCACAGGTCACCTGCCTTCGCGGGAGTGAGCTGGCACTTGCTGTGTGGCCTTGGCCCAGCTGCTTCCCAACCCCAGCGAGTTTCCCCAGTGTCACAAGAGGATAGCGATGGGGCCGCTCCTGAGAAAGGTGCCGGTTTCAGGCGGCAGCGCGGGGGTGTGTGTGGCCAACGGAGTAAACCCTCGCCCAGGCACAGACCCAGAAGGGCACCAGCTCCAAGCACACATGTGACTTCTCCACTTCGTGACTCGCCCACTGGCTTGGGCCCTGCGTCCTGCCTTCTCCCACCACGGGCTGAGGGGACGGGGGCATGAATAAACAGACGCCTCCAGCTTTATGCCCCTGGCCTCGGGCTCGAAGCTGCAGCCGAAACCCAGGCACTAGCCCGGGTGACCTCAGCGCACGGCACTAAGCCACGATGGACATGCCAGGTGTCTCGTCCTTTCTTCCGCAGAGGGACAGCTAGTGTGTTATTTAACTTCCACTGTTTTGACACCACAGGCTCCTGTCTCGTGCTAACAGCACCGTAGTTGGGGACCTCAGGGCAGGACTCATTGCCCGGAAACCGTGGTGCATGCACACGTGCACTTCTCTGGGGCTGGGGTCCCGTGGCCTGAGAGAGGCTGAGCAGCTGCTCTGAACACCTGGCCCAGAGTAGGTCGCATGAGCTCAGGAGCAGGGAGGGGGGTGCCCTGGTGCACACGGGCATAGCTCCTGGGGACCGGTCCCGTCACATGTGAGCTGGCTCTGAACAAGTAACCTGTGCTCGGCGTGGGAGTCACACTTTGCCTGAGGGGTGCTACGAGGGTCCTGAGGACCTCAATGAGGGCCCAAGGGAGTGGCCAGCAGCTGTGGCCTCAGACTAGGGAGCAGTCACTCAGGGAAGTCCCTGCTGGCTGTGGAAAGACCCCAGACTCAGGAGACCTGCTGCCCAGCACAGTTCGGAGCTCCGGCCTGGCCTCCATTCCTAGCTCTGGAAACAAGGAGAACCAGGCACCTGTGTCATGCCTGCCCCTCGCTGTGAGCACCGGCAGACCCCTCATCCTTGTCCAGCTGCCAGTCCCATCCTATGGTCTGTGCCACCATGGGGGCAGTTCCACAAGTCCTCACGGAAGTGCTCTCACCGTGGTCCGCACCTTCGTGTCATTACGAGGAAAACTGCTCAGGTCCCCAACTGCCCCTTCCCACAAGCCGAGCAAAGCCAGCACCCCCTCCCCCCGCAGTCTCTCGGGGGCTGAAGCATGGCTGGCTGCCCTCCCTGGCCCTTGGAGCCAGCCCACCTCTGCAGAGATCGCAGGGTGTCACAGTGTGAGCACGGGGTGGGGTGGGAGAGCAGGGACAGAGGGGAGGCATGAAGGCAGGGAGCGAAGACGTGCTGGGGGATTAGGGAGCTCTCCACCGTCTCCATGTCAACGACCTGGCCGTAGGCGAGCGTGGCCCATCTTGGACACCGCTGGCTATGACACGCCAAGGACGCAAGGAGGGAGAGAAGAGGCCCAGAGGCACGCAGGACACAGTGACTCAGGCAGCAGATGTGCCCGGGCCGGCTCTCCAGGGCCCACGGTGGACCCAGCTGGCCTCCAGCCCTCTCAGGACAGCAGGTTGCCTGCACCGGCTGGGGGTGGCGGGGAGAGTCAGAGCGGAGCAGCTTGCCGCAGGCCTGACGCTGTAAACACTTGTTTATTTAAAAAATACTACAGAGCAGAGATTCGGTTCAAAAAACACAGATTCATATACAGAAACAAAACGTACTGGACCAAGGACAAAGGGGGACCCCACAGGCATTCTGCAAGAGGACAGTGGAGAATTATTTACAGGCATGTATAAAAGAGCACGTTACGGAAGAGTCATACCAGAGTATAAATGTAGGCTATAGTGGCACCTGTGTCACAGAGCAGTACCTCAGGGAAACTCGTGGCCGGCCACCTGGGGTCTGCCTGCTTTGTCTGCAAGGCCCCTGTGGTGTTCTAGCCCCTCCGTCAGGCGGGGCACAACTGTCCAGGGGTGGAGAGGTGAGGGACTGTGGGAACGCATTAAAACCATCCAGAGGAGCCCGAGGCTACCAGGAAAATGGAACACGCGTCTAGGTGACTGGCTAAGAATCAGACCCGCGCTGGGTCGCCGGCACGCGGAGGCACAGGCAGTGAGGTGGCATTCCGCCAGGCTGGCTTGAGGCCCGGTGGGCACCTGCCCACAGTGTCGCTGTCCCTCAGCTGTGGTGTGGGGCAATCTGGGGAGGAGACAGCAAGGCCTGCCCCCAGGTGCCCTCTGGGTGGTGTGTGTGGCTTTCTGAACACCCCCTGGCCACCCGGGGAGACACTGGCTGAAGTGTCGCCTCTGGCAGTTAAATAAGACACTCACCCCGGCCAGGGCCCTGGTACCAATGGCCTCTGCCCTTCGGCAGTGCTGGTGCAGGACAGCAGCTCCGTCCCGTACCAGAGGGCAGAGCTCTGAAATGCTTCTGAGCCCTAGAAGAGGAAGACAGCCCTGCCAAGGAAAGGGCCCTGGAGCCTGCTGTCTCAGGAGAGGAGGAAGGGAGATGGCCAGGCACACGGGGCCTCCTCGGGTACCTGGATCTGAGAAAGGCAGCCCTGCCAGGCCCGCCCTGCACAACTTGGCACCACTGGCCACCCCACTGGCCACCTGCGCCCCTGCCCTCCTCCAGACTCAAGCTCTCTACCCAGCACTCACAGTGCATGTCACAGCAGGGGACATGGAGGACAGAGGACAAGGCACCCCCACACTCTGGTCCCCTTCTGTTGCTGCCTGTCAGGGCCCAAAGGCTGGCTGGCTTTAGTCTGTCCCCCCACGAGGAGATGGTGGGCGCACCAGCCCAGCCACGCACACCCTTCCCAGGGCGCATCTTCACACAGAGCCGCCAGGATGAGTCGGGGGCCCCTCCACGGTGGCTGAGGTGAGCACGCACAGGCCTGCGTTCAGGGCTCATTCTTGGGGGGAACAGAAGAAGGCACAGCCAGAGGAAGAGGAGGTTCTCCAGAGAGGGACGAGGACGGTCGTCATGGGTGCTCCTCCCCGGCCCGGCGACGCTGGCCTGGAGCGCCAGGCGGGCGAGCCGGGGTCCCGGCGTACCGCTGAGTCCAGGGCGCAGAACTCCACAGAGACGAGGAGAGGACTCAGGCGGCCCAGGGAGCCAGGCGGGAGGGCTCAGGACAGTCAGCGCTCACAGGTCGTCGGGCCGCCTCCACG